ACCCGTTCTCTCTTTTGGTGGTCCTAAGGGACAATGGGAGGCTTCGGGGAGGCTGACATTTGCGGACGGACACGCAAGGGTGCCGCACGGCTTAGGCAAAACCAGCTAAGTCCGTGTCAATTCGGTATATATATATATATATATATATATAAAGTTAAAAAAAAAACGACGTCACCTCGATACTCCCCACGCTCGGTTTCTGCCCGTGTTGTCACGGCCTTAGCTGGAATTGCCTAAGGCGTGAGGCACCCTTGCGGCCAAGACGTGAAACTTAGCTTGCGTTGCCTAAGTCGCGCTTCGCCCTTGTGATATTGCTCCGCAAAGATCAGCCCACTTGTAACCTCTCGCAGGTCCCGAAGGACCTGTAAAAGAGAAAGTTGATTAGTTTGAAAGAACGAACGACGGACAAGTCCCGACGTCTCGCGAAAAGAGGGGAAGCTTTACAAGCAATTCAGCGAGCACCTTGCGTGCACAAGAGAAAAGAGGGAGTGGGGGAAAACAAGGGCTTTAGAAGGTTGAACGAACAACTGCAAGCCCACAAACAGCTGCTCACCGAGTCCCGGGCGCGACAACAAGTTCCCGTCAAGGCAACGTACGAACTTGCGAATGAGTGTTCAACGCCCGTTACTATATCGAAGGCCCATCCAGCCCTGTGCCACCCGGGGGGTTCCAAGGGGCTGAGATGGCTGACGTTTTGGTGAGCGAAGGCAGATTCCAGAAATCAGCCCGCGGCACATGAAAACGGAGCTGTTTTGGACTGTTTTGGGGCTGTTTTGCTCGATTCAGTGAGCAGTCGCTTTGTAACGCTGCAGCTTGTTCGAACTTACATTTTTACAAGCAAAATGACCCAAAACCAAGAGAAAACATGTTGTCAAGCAGCTATACATGTAGGTGTGAGCGACGAACGGTTCGTTGAATGGCGTTGTTGCGAGTGCGCGACGACCGTTCGTGACAGCGTGGGGTCCCTGCGCAAAAAAAAAAAAAAAAAAAAAAAAAAGGCGACGTCGCTCGGTTTCTACTCGCATGGGGAGAAGAAACTGACGTTTCCTTCTCCCCGTGCAAAAAAAAAAGGCGATGTTGCTCGGTTACTGCTCGAGTGGGGAGAAGAAATTGACGTTTCCTTCTCCCTGCACGAAAAAAAAAAGCGACGTCGCTTGGTTTCTGCTCGCATGGGGAGAAGAAACCAAGGTTTCCTTCTCCCCATGCAAAAAAGGGCGACGAGGCGACATTGTCACCTCGTTTCTTCTACCTATGTGGGGAGAAGAAACACCGCCTCGACGATGCTCGATTTCTTCTCCCCACGACGTCATCGAAGCTTCTTCCCTCCCCGCGCGGATGAGAAGTCGCCGACGAGGAGGAGGCAACATCATCTGCGACGTCTAGCGAGGGAGGGCGGTGACGGATCGGGATCGTCGAGGGAAAGCGGCGCCGAATCTCCAGGTTTCCCTTTTCTTCTCCCTCAGCTAAATACCACCCAGTAGCGGGCAACGGCGGTCGAAATCGACCATCACCGATCGATTTAATGTGGTAACGAAGCGAAAACAACTCCAATCGACGGTACCACCCAACGGACCGGTACGTACAGCCCAATACAGGCGATATTATTCGAAATTAAAAACCTTAATTTCAAGGAACAAAAGAAGAATGGATGTCATATTAACACCATTTTAATAAAAGTACTGTCATTTGTGCCTTTAGAGGTTGAATAAAGAGCTAGTACAAAATCAAAAAGAGAGTAAAAATTCTTTTTAAGACACTGATAAGCAGAGCATCTCATCTTAATTCATTATAATTTTATTAAGTAAAGAAAAAAGAATGATACAAAAGAAAACAAATTTGCACCAAGGTGAATATTATTTAAAATCATTTTCACCATAAAACAAAATTCAACATGATTTTTGGTTTCCTTCGAAGATATGTTTATCTTCCACTCTGTAGAACCCTTGATGGAAAAGTTGAATATTTCCTCAACATCCGTTATGATTCCCTAGAAGAGACATTTATTTCTGGAACTCCATATCTCCTAGGGTAAAGAATCATCCCAAGTATATATCCAGCAAGCTGCAATCTAGCACTCTTTCCAGACTTACCAATCTCTCCTGTAAGTTCTGAGGTAGAGATTTGATTAAAAAAAAACTAACATGTTCTCAAGTATTGTTCAGCATCCCTGCCACTTGGTAAAACTATTTCACCAAGCCAATTACACTAGTCACATTCAGCATTGCAAAATCTTTCTTGGCTATGAATAGGTGAAAGCAAGGTTCGCAATTTTGTACCGTACCGGAGCATCGAGATCAGCTCGGTATGGTACGGTACGAGTATACCGAGCAGTACTTTTGGTGTACCACTCGATATGTATATATATATACATACATATATATACATACATACATATATATATATATAAAAAGATGGCGTCGCCTCGTTTTTCTACCCGAGTGGGGAGAAGAAATCGAGGTTTCCTTCTCTCCGCACGCGACGTCACCTCGTTTCTTCTACCTGCGTGGGGAGAAGAAACGTCGCCTCGACAATGCTCGGCTTCCTTCTCCCCGCGCAAAAAAGGGCGACGAGGTGATGTCACCTCGTTTCTTCTTCCCGCGTGAGGAGAAGAAATGTCACCTCAACGACACCCGATTTCTTCTCCTCGCGACGTCGCCGAGGCTTCTTCTCCCTACGCGAATGAGGACAAGTCGCCAACGACGCCAAGGCCTCGTCGCCTCAGACGAGGAGGCGACATCTCATTTGCAGCATCCAGGGAGGGTGACGACGGATCGGGATCATCGAGGGAGAGCAGCGCCGGATCTCCAAGTTCTCCCTTTTCTTCTCCCTCTTCTTTCTGCTCCCTTGGCTAATACCACCCGGTAGCGGGCAACGACGATCGAAATCGACCGTCACCGACCGATTTCGGGTGGTAATGGGGCGAAAATAGTCTCAATCGATGGTACTGCCCGATTACGAGCAGTTCGCGTACCGGTCTATTGGCGGACCGGTACGTACCACTCGATATAGACGGTATTATTTGAAATTAAAATCCTTGTGTGAAACTTGAAAGTATATTTTTCGCTCAAGTACAAGTGACAAATGGATTTTGCTCTATTTGATGCTAGTCACTATCATAGATATGGCTGTCAATGAATTATTATCAATCTAGTTAGAACCAGAAATGGGACAAGATCAGTCTGATGACCCAAAAAGAAATGATACAATCCAATTAAAGTATAACTAGATCAATCAAAGATTAGCGGTTATCCCAGTCTGGTTTCTTTGTTTGTCTATTTGATGCTAGTCACTATCATAGATATGGCTGTCAATGAATTATTATCAATCTAGTTAGAACCAGAAATGGGACAAGATCAGTCTGATGACCCAAAAAGAAATGATACAATCCAATTAAAGTATAACTAGATCAATCAAAGATTAGCGGTTATCCCAGTCTGGTTTCTTTGTTTGTCTTATATGAAAATTAAATCAAACCAAAATTTAAAACTTGATCAAAACATCAAAATTTTGCCACACCATAGAATTTGACATTATAACTTAATTCCATCAAATGATGTGATTAGATAAGAGTGGTCTTTCTAGTTTTAGGTGTAATAAGACATTTACCTGGTAGTAGCAGGCCTCAAAATGCAAATTTGGAAAATAAACATGTGGTAGACAACCCCATAAGCGACCAAACAATGTATCACCACCAATAAGGTTAAGAGCCCCAGCAACAAGTTCACCCTCATCTTCAGCAGCAATTAACAGTATATGATCACCCATCTTTGATCCCAGGATGTGAAAGAAGTCCCTTGTGAGATAAGCACTACCCCATCTACAAAATAAGTGATTTGTCAAAATAGGTCTAAAAGAAACCATAGTAGTAAAAGATCAGTATTTACAGATGCAAGTGTGTTCATCACTTCATTGCAAGTAGAAACTGTTTTTTGGAGAGACAAAATAATAAGAAACTTTGCAACAATAAAATGCTACAATCATAAACAGCTTTATGGAAATAAGGCTAAATTAAAAATGCTATTATAGCAACTACAATTGCAGCAACATTGCTACAAGAAAACATGACATCTTATTGGTTCAATTACACAAGCAATCACAAAAAAGCAGATGGGAACCAAGTGCCAGAGATGGAACATCTAATGTGAATTTCTGCAAAGAGCCATCTGGATTCAAACTTTACACCAGTAATCTAAGATCAGGATGCCCATCCTGTCAATTAAGCACCACTCTTGCAAGTCAAGAAACAGCATCTTATCAGACCAAATCTTATCTATCAATTCAATACCAACATAAGGTCACAACATATAGATCACAAATACCTAGAAGGTAAACATCCAAAGCCTAAAATAATAAAAAATGCACAACAAAATACTCAAAAAAATGGAGGTTAGCAATGACCAAACTTATTATCAGTTGTGTTCCTGTAGAACTTATAGAAAGAGTCCCAATGCTTGGCCTGCAATTATATATCAAGCTAACTGTTAGTAAGAACTTGAGGCATGGGAGTTCCAGTCAATGTAAAACAAAAGACGAATTCACTTATCTAAACCATGCCTAAGATGGCCCTATGTTAGCAATACATCATTAAATTATTGCAATTAAAAATTTTAAAATATCCAGAAGCATATGCAGTTGGCAGGTATATGATGTAAAGAATATATCTTCAAACAACCATATGAATTGTATTGATCTCAAGAAACGCATTATGTGAAACAAAATACTGACCTTTATCTCATCCCCAAAAAGACGCTTCATCTTCAAATTGTGTGTAAGGACCTGCATGAGAAATTTCACACAGATTACAAGCCATGCATGCAAACAGGTAATGATTTATCACTCTAGATTGGGTTTCAAAGATATCATAGTTCAAGTGGATGTTAACATATAATTGGTGGGATCAATGGCATTAAGAGAGGAGGGGGATGAACTACTGCAAGTTCAATTTAGAACTTGTGCAAGCTAATTTAAGCTTGAACTCATGAAATAAAACACACAAGAAATAACAAGGGAAACAAAACTTTTCATACTGATTCGGCTCACTATCTACTCCCACTCCCAGTTCCCCCTCTCCTGACGTCATTTTCACCAAGTTCAAACACCCATTTTACAGCTTCCTCCTTTTTATAGTTTTGATGTTATCTTTACACTTGGGATTCACTCTCCTTTTACTAAGACTTCAGTAGATCACCCTTTCACCCTTTTAAAGTAGCACCTTCTCACCTACACAGCAAGAACAACAACAAAGTCATGAAGTCCTAACTATTTGGAGTTGAATACATAAATCTATTTGGAGTCGACTACATAAATCTAGTTATTAGACACATAGCAGCTTTTTGGTAGTGGTACAACCAGACAATGCCATCGCTAGATGCCCATTGAAGGTCGGAGATGCCACCATTGGATAAGATAGTTACCCCCATTTAATAAGAGACACCACCAAACAAGGTGAGGCTAACGTTAGGTACCATCACTTACAATGTGTTAGCTCTATCTAGCTATCTTCGATGATCGATCGAGCGATTGAATTTATGAATTTGCATGTTAACATGCATCATTCTGCACATCAAAGTCAATAAATCCATGTCTCTAAGGGTGCATTTGGGGACACATTTGAAATGTGCAATGAGGGTTTCATAAGTTTTTTTCAAATTGCATTTGGCCTAGATACTACAATGAAAATGCTCAAATGCACATTTCAGTATTTACGGGATGCTAATGTAATTTTTTTAATTCTCAAAGTACCCTATGACATTATTTAAAATCACAAAATTGTCAATATAATTTAATAAGAAACTATCATGATTTATATCTTCTATAAGGTGAAATTTTATTTATTTATTTTAAAAGTTATTTTATATTTATTTATATGATTATAGTTTTTATTTATTATATATCTAGGTCATACGAAACTTTCTGTAAGATTGCATATGTACATTCATTTATTTTATTTATTTATTTAAATATTAATTTAAATAAAAATATGTATTCTTTTTTGAATAAATATTTAAAATTTTAGAAGGATAAATTTGTCACATAATATTCAATGGACTTTTGAAATACAATTTTGCCAAACAAGACTCACTTCAATGCACATTTTGAGATGCAGTTTTCATCTATTTTTTACCAAACACAAAATATTCTACAACCGCACATTCACTTAATCTCCCTTCTCCAAATACAAATTAAAAATGCAAATGCGTTCCCAAACGCAACCTAAATCTTCAGATGAGTAAAAAAAAACTTTGCTAACTTTTTGTTTGCAAGCAACTTGAATAAAAAGATTAATTCGTTTAATCCATCAACTATGTTTCTTCATCAAAACAAAGGAGCCAACAATAGTTGGTTAAAGCTTCAATATAACAGGAATATAGATCAATCAGTTTTTACATAATTATTGGTAGAGACAGGCATGTATCATTTGGCAATCCACTTGACATTAAAATGAATGCTATCTAGTAAAGGATTCTAATATGTAATCGGCTAAGGCCTCTAACTAATTGGAACATGGGTAAAATAATTGTATAAAAGTTACTGGAAAAGAATCATATACAAGAATTATTTGGATAACACAATGCTGCATGATTCTTTTGTTAATCCTGATACTGATGAATGGTTAACATGTAAAGGAAGCAGACAAAAGTTTACAAAAAATATTGTCCTAAAGATAGTATGGCTCACCATGTTGGTTATTTCATATCTCTCACCTGTCTTCATTTCTGTAGTTTTCCATCAAAATATGAGATTTTTCATTTGGCTTTGGTCTGTTTAATTAACTGCACTAAGCATTAACTCCTCATTATAATTCTTTCTCCAGTCATCTCAATGTACAGTATTTGTATCCTAATTAAGATCCTTTTTCTCCCTCGATACAGCTTCAGTATTTCTCCTCCCTATCTTGCAAAAACTTCAAACTATAACTGAATTGCTTTTTACAAGTCTACTACATTATATAAGCTGGACCTACACAAACATCCGAAAACAACCTGCATTCATCTAGTGAAGTACCTCTGACTTTGCCAAATGTACGTCTTGTATTTCTGTCTTCTAAGGAAATGATTGTTATCAATCCTCATTTGGATGACTTGAAAATGCTCATATTATTGACACAATGAAAGGTAGAGGAAAACCTATAAGACTTTAGTAGAAACAATATAAGGATTTGATGGTTGCCTAACTTGATTAGTAATATTGCCCTCAAAATATCTCACTAGCAGGAAAGGATCCATGTGGACATGTTAAGCCCCTACATCAAGTTACATATTATATCAGACTTCAACTGTATATCTATTGTATGAAAAACAAGTTGAAAACCCCACTTGACCAAAATTCACACCAAAGTATTTAATAAACTGCACAAATTTGCTGCAAAAAAACCACAGGCTAAACTTGGCAACAATGCAGACTAAATATAGATGATGCAGAATAAAGGCAAGCATACCATTTGTATTACAGAACCAATCACAAAAATTAAATAAGACCATTAACATGACAAATGAATAGATTTTCCAATATACAGATGCAGAACTAGTGTAATTACTTTTCAATTCTTAAACAGTGATTGTTATGTCTACAAGACAACTGAAAATTTCAACCCATGAAATATTAAAGAGACAAAGGTAACGAGATTACCTTTTTCCGCTCTTGTCGGATATTTTTTCGTTTGCTTTGCTTCATATCCATCAAGAAGTCATCAAAACTGTTGAGGGCAAACACATTCAATGAAGATTGTTACAGAGTTGCAAATTGCAAATGATCAATGTTTACATGAAGCATCAGGATATGTCTTGACCAAGGCATCAAATCTTGGTCGAACCAGTAAAGTACATACTGACTATTCATGGTTCAATCATAGATCAATACCAGATCATATTGCTCAGTATCAGTAGGTAATTTCTTTAATTATTTTTCCATGAGACTAAGCAGTATAAATTAATGTATGGTCAGTATACCAGTACCTTACCAATCTGACCAATGCTAAAACTAGTACCCAATCAAGATTCAAATCCTTGGTCTCTACAAAACAGGAATTTGACTGATTTTTTTTCCTATATTAACAAGAATAAGTAACGGAACTATAACTAATTAGATATTGGAAAGCATATTAACCATCTCTAGAAAAGTACATCAGGAAAGGTAGTGAAATTAACTAAGTTTAGAAGTCTAGAAGAATCAAAATCTTTAGGAAAGATGTTCATTTGAGAATTAATACAGTCTAGAAGAATCAAATTCACAAGCTTCAGACTAAGTTTAACATCATTACCTCGACCACTGAAGCATGGATATTCCCCATGCTGAACTAACAAAATGACAATCAATAGATAAGCAAATGATAATTTACAAGTGTTAGGAAGTCTTAAAGCTTATGTTTCATCTAGTAACTGGAAATCCTACATTTCAGTGAACTCATCTTTCCATGTTGGATGCAAATCATGTAGGCTAATATCAGCTGTTTAACCATGATCGAAAACAAACCCATAAGTATGACATGTTGGAATGGTAGTTCGGCAAAGTAAAAGAACCCAAGTATCTTTAAAATTCATATGAAAAAGAAGAAAATAAAGAAGAAATGCAACTGTACAAGACATGCTACTGTCAGATCTGACATGAGTTACATATTCAACATAAACATATACAAATTTCATCAATTCAGCAAAAGAGAACAGACAACATTTACATTTGGAAAAAAACCTTTAGGGTCATCAGAAAACTACCATTTTCCTGATGCATAATTAGAATCAAGTGGACGAGGTATGAATATCAGGGCCACCAAGTGCAAGGTACATCCTTATCCATATCATGCCAATGCATGCTAAACTTTTCTATTCATTCATACACCACTAGATGAAAGAACAGAAGGAATATGAAGACATAATTTCTATCATTCTAGAAAGAGCAAACAAATTAATAAAGATTTAAATTTAATCATTTTCTTCCCACTCACTTTTTATAATTGCGGTTTTTCCAATGATATTGTATTCCTATCCTTGGCAAAAAGCCACTTTGCTTCAACTTGTGCCATTCATTTTCAGATGGAAAAGTGATATGTAACGATGAGATCTGGAGCTGTAAAAATATTAAACAATAGCATGTGGTTAATGAAGTATCACATGCTTCTGGTATCCCAACTTTTCAACAAAGTAGCTGCCATACCATTGAAAATTACCTACTACATTTTTAACTGAGAACATTCTTATCGATGAAAGCATTCTTAACCCTGATCCCAAATTACAGCACGATGACTACAAAGTTTATTTTAGGAGGTGAACCAAGTACTAGTTATGTCTTAGGCCTTTAGATAATATTGAACAATCCAATTATCTCTTAAGACTTAGATAATGCCAAACAACTCGATTCTCATGTAACATACACCAACAACTCATTTATGAAAACTTTAACAAAAATTAAATAAGTAGTAAACAATAAAGCAAAAAAGTGTATGTTTTTACATGCTAAGTTTTCTATTATCGTTTGATTACTTTGTCTCCACATTCTACTACACCAGAAACCCATTAGCAGAAAAAGAAAAAGAAAAGAACCAGCACCTTTTAACAAAGGAGAGTGCAAGAGATATAATCGTGAGCAGTGCACATTGATTAGTCTGTGCCATGCTATGCCGAAATTAATAAGCCAGCCTAAAATAAAATTGATATTCAAGAAATCCATGAAAGTGGCTTCATGATTAATAAAAGAATTAACAATTGTACAGCATCTGAAAATAAAAAAATATGTTTAACTTATGAAATACCTTGGTAGTCAAGTCCTTCAGGGCCATGACTAACATGTCAAACACCTGATCTGTATACCAAGTGTTACGAACTAGTATTCTATGACCTGTTACGGGAGTAAAAGGTACACATGATTGCAGCTTTGGATAATATTGAGATCCATATCTGTAGTAAGCATCAGCCCAGGAGTGATCGAACACATACTCTCCATAAGAGTGACTGCAATTTCAAATTACAATAGCTCATCTCAGCTACTGTTAAAGGCAGCTAATGTAGATCAGCGTGCACTAGCTTATATTGTTGATAAATAAAAGCATTAGAGCTTTAAAAGCTTGTGAGATGATAAACCTTTTAAGATAAAGTGGAACAACACCTATTACATTTTTATATTCATCTTGAGCAACAATATGCTGAGGCAACCATCCTGTTTCCTGAAATGGTTTCAGATAAACGATCAATAGAGACCTCGGTCACTCATGCACACAGCAATCTCAATGTTAAATGCCAAAATTTGATACGGAAAAGAAGAAGATGATCTAAAGTGAATAAGATCATCGGAGGGTACCACTTTCTTAATCTTGTGCCAGAGGAGACCAAATATGATACTTTAACAAACTTGCATCAGTACCACAATTGTTTGTCATGTCGTAAAACAATAATGTGCCGACAATGTGTCAACAATGCAACAAGGAAAAAAAAGTCATGGAACTCACAAGGCCTGTTTCTCCAACAAACTTATCTCCATCATTGAACTAAGATGCTCCACTTTGAAATGTTACAACCATGATATAAAATTCTTTAGGTCCCTTTTCTCATTGAGAATCCAATTATAAATAGTAATTTCCAAAAAAAAATCAGGTTCACCAAAAAAAAAAAAAGATTCCTAAATGAATATGTCAAAGGGTCCATCAGAACGGCTACAAGTTGCAAGAAACTATAACTAAATTGTGCATCTTGAATGCCATACCGTCCTCACGACCTTCAGAGGACATGAAACATGTCATGAGTCACAGGACACTAACACATGACAGAAAAATATGATGTCAGTAGTTCAAAAGTCAGCAAGAAAACTATCACATTGGTACTAAAGAAATCCGTACAACAACCTGTAAATGTATACCAAGGGGTCGGTTATGAATTGCAAAGTGGAAGAATTATTGACTTCTGCAGGAAGAGCATGCACTATTGGCCTACTTCTCAAGACATTACTTATCCAACCCTGAACCTTGTTACTTGCTATATCTGGTCAGACTCTATGCAGGACTGCTTCTTTGGTTTTTGTACTGAGAACCAATATCCCTGCAGCCTTTTCTAACTGCCTCATTTAAATATAAACAAGGGCTGCTTTTGTTGCTCTGATTTCCATTCTTGACAGAAGAAAGTACAAAAATAAGACCACAAAACAGAAAATTCATCAAAAGATAATGTTAATGATCATCTCAGCCTTAGCATCCTAGGATTTTTCAAGCCTAAAATGTATAACAATATAATGTTAGGTCATTATGTAACATTAGGATTTCTGTAATAGCCAAACATGATAATTGCAAATCATCTTCGTGCATTCAAAGCAAGACCAAGACGAAGTTGGCACTACTTTCTTAACATTGAGGACCTTCTTGAGTTATCAATTCTGTGCTGTAAGAAAAATCAAAAAGACATCCTTCACTCTTCATGCATAAATTTGAGAGTTATAAGGAACTCAATTATAGAATTCTAGGATGATTAGCACAAAGTTAGCAAGGAATAGACAGAGAGATAAGGCAAGAAGCAGGGGGCATAATTAGCAAGAGTAGTAATCAGAAACAGGGAGAAGATAATCCTAGGATGCTAAAAATGTAAAGGGTTCAACCTTTATAGCAGAACGTGACTCCTCTAAGCTTGAGAGGAAGGCATGACTGATGAAAGGATTAAACTTTTCAGGACTAGTTGCATCAGTGGCACAAGCATCCCAATCATTCGAAGAAATATCTGAAATTGATGAGACAACCGACAAGGATATCTCCCGTGGAGTCTTATCATCCACAGATACACCCTATGGTTGCATAGCTGATTCAACAAAATCAGTGATAGCAAGATAAAATATTAATCCATCCATGCCATGACAAAATGAAGAACATGAAGAAGCACCTCCGATGATGATTTTAACAGTTTGTACGCTCCTAAGGAAGGATTCAATTCACGTGGCTCCTTAATCCTCCTAGGCCCCCAAAAAAGTGCAGTAACCTTAAATGTAGAAACCATAACTAAAGAACCTTTTCTGCACAATGGATTCCCCTGTAAATAGCCAGAGAAAAGAATTATAAGATCTCGATCAAAGATCACATAAGAAGGAAGAAGCAATCTGCACTACAAAGTTGTTCCAGAGAAAGCAGATCAAATACCAAAGATTGAACGATAAAAAGATCAAAGAAATCTTTCGGTAATCAACAGGAAGTTCCATTCTACGACGCTTCTCCGGTCTAAACCCGGAAACTTTGTGTCAAGAATGAAAATGGTGCAAAGATTCAGGAAGATTCTCTGATTTAGGGCACAATTCCCTATTGCTTTCACGCATCGAGTCGAATAAAGGGACGAAGCAGAGTTGGCCGAGTCAAGAACTGAAAGGCTTACGGGATGGCGAAGCGGTGATCCAAGGAAAGCAGATGGGCGATGCGGCGCAGAACAGCAGCAGCACGTCGCCATGGCCGGAGGTCCACTCGACGGCGAGGAGTGAGCTCAGAGGATTGGTTGGAGAAATCGGAGTCCATTTAAATTAAAATAAATCTTTTTTAAAAAAAGGAATATTCTAAGGCCACGTGGCATTTCCATGATCACCGGATAAGTCTCGAATCATGGCAATTTTCTTTTATTTTTTTATTATAGAAAAATAATTATATATATATATATACATTAATGCTACTTCAATAATACAACATTTCATAAATTAATAAATTTGATAAATATCCATCTAAATTTAAATTTTATTAATGAGGGAGTCAAATTATCGGAAGAGTGTAAATAAACATTTGCTATATTGAAATGCGGGCTGACATTTATATGTAAACCCAAAAAAAAGTGTAAAACGGTGTATATAATATTTGTAATGATTCCTACAATTCTCCCTCAAATTTTAATTTAATACGCATCCCGTAGAACATAAAATTTTTATAGCCTGTGTTTTAGTTTTAGAACATATAATTTCTCGTGATAGATTCTTTAATGCATTGAATAATGATTTCCAATGTAACCATACAAATGTGTGGTATCTAATTTATGGTTGGAATTGGTAGAAAGATGTCGATACATCAATCGATCGACCTTAGCCATGACACACAACATGATTGAAGCCTTCAAATGGAACTGTTAATGAGAAGTTAGTGAGAGCATCAAAGATGATAGTTGACATAGAGAGAGAAAGTTCTTGGAGAAATGTCATCATCTCGTCAGTAATGTGCATATGCAATGTGTACAGTTAAATCTTGAGATACTGCCTGAACTAACTCTAATTCTAATACCAGATTTGTGATGTCTCACGCAAAGGACTGTGGGTGTAAGAAAAAAAGGAACAAGTTAAGGCCACAAAACCACAAAAGACGGCCTTGTTTAACAAGAGGATTACAAGCACTTATTTTTCAAACTTGTTTGCATCAAGAGCACATCTTTGCAAATTGACCGAAAAAGAAAAGCTAGTTCGGACTCGAGTGCATACTCATAATTTTAGAGATCTCCTAAATTCATATGTAATAAAGGCAGTAAAAAGTATCCTAAAAGGCTACACCGAGCGAACTAGTTTGACACCGATAGCATCATTCCAAATGGTTAGACTGATCAAGCACCGAAAGCTTCACACGGTCAGTGACGCGCCATTATCTTCCGTCGTGAGGTTGAGTATCATTGTAGCAGCATTAGGAGCCCTGAAACAAAATGATAAACATGTTGACGAAAAACAGGGGTCTTAGAGCCTTTGTTATTAACATACATAATGCTAACTAGAGTTTTCACAATTGATAATGCGAAAATTGGGGAAAGTCAATGTCTTTCAACATAACTCATGACAGAATTTCGAACACCAATTCTGGCAGAAAGGAAGCAGAAGCTGGAAGTTGGATGGCTGCTAAAGACCAACTTTTATGTGATTTGCGCTGAGCTAAGGACTTAAAAGTGAAGTTGCCAAATCTCCATTGGAAATATAAGTATGGATGGGATCTTACTCTTACCTACACAAAATCAATGGAGAAATGAACAAATGCAAGCACATTAACAACAAATCAAAGCTGCTCCTTTGACAGAATGTAGAAGCGATTGACCTTTTCTTGCAAAAATGACAGATTTCCTTGACGGAGAAATCTAAGTTGATCTTGCTTCTTGCAAGATAGCATTAACTGAGAATTTTTTATAGGATACAGTCCCATTTTTTATACAGACATGAGACAACAGATGCAAGTCTACAAATGAGGAAGTTGTAGGTGTGCGGCAATAAGGTCAGAAAAAAGTTGTGCGCATCAAAATTAACATCCACAAATCTACTAGAATGTGAAAGCCTTCTACAGGTTTTATTGGAAGACCTGTGTTCTGTAACCACTCCAATGGTAAATTCAACACAGCAACACCAGTAGATGACAGAAGCAACATGTCAATTTTCACAAGAGCCAGCAGCAGCGGAATCCATAATTAACAACTAGTTGGAATGAGCTAATAGATATATTTTGTTATTCTAAAATATTTCCCTCCTTCAAATAGTATAGTAACAATCTCATACAGTTAATTGGCAAGTATACACTGCCTTCTGTTGAACATTTCAGAATTCCATCAAAAAATTCCAACTGGCTAGCTGTTTTGTTTTCTGTTTCATATAGTCAATATGCATCTAATATGTTTGACTAATTTATAATCTAGTTGATTGTCCCAACCTGACCAACTGATGTGTGATCCAACAAATTTGATGTTGCTAGCGAAAAAATCCATGCACAAATTTGATCAGTTTCAAACAATCTGCTCAAAGATTTTCCATAAACGAACCACCTTTCTATTTTGTGGATCAAGAACATTTGTAAAAATACATCACTTGTTTGTTCATTCTTGTTCATAAGTTGGGGGTTTAATTTCTTTATTGGCAACCTCCATGAAAAATTTGTTTATAAGACTCATTTTAACTGAAACAAGCGTAGCAACTCTTCACTGCACTTCAATTTACGCCAATTTTGTTAGGCTCAGGGAGAGGTGAAGCAACATTTTAATTCTCTTCTCTTAGAACCTTCATGAGTATTTTGCATAATCTCTACAACCTATTGGATACAGGTGCAAATGGATCTTAACTTCATGATACATAGTTTAGTGGTGGATTAGAAACCTGTAAAGCGATATTGAAAAAGTCAATATTCTGACATAATCAACACACACAGTTCATCTATCCCTGCACAAAAACAATTCTCAACCCCATTATGAAAACTAACCTTGCAAGACTACTCATGAAATAGCTGCTAAGAAAAGGACAATTTAGAAAAATATAATATGTGTACATACAGAATTACCATGTTTCAGGAGTTTGATAAAGAGAAGCAGAACTTCCAAAGCACGAGGCAAGCATGTCAGTGTTTACCACACCAGGACTAAGAGCAACAATTGCAAGCCCTGGTGGCAATTCCTTTGCGACAGACTTTGTCAAACCCTCGACTGCCCACTTTGAAGCACAGTAGGGTGCAACCTGTAAGCAAATGCCATGTATGGATGACTTCATAACTGACAGGAGTAAAATATTAACTAGGAAGTAACTCCAGTGAGAGGGTGTCGTTACCTCAGCAGCTGCAGACCTTCCCCAACCAGAGGACATGTTCACGATGGTGCCATGCTTTCTTTGTATCATAAGGGGTAAAAAGTGACGTATAATATTTGATATTCCTTTGACATTGGTATCCATGACCATATCAAATTCTTCTGCTGGAACTTCCCATATCTTGTTGTTCTTATTTATGGTGCCTGCGTTATTTACTGTAATTGAAACTCCATTTCAGTGGCTACTCATTATCATAGTTGCTATAGACAAAAGAAATTTAGGTGAACAGACACTAAGAAAGGAGAATTGTAGTACTTAATTAAGAATTTTACAGTAATGATTTCAATTGGCATGAAAAGAAACAGATATCAAGCTGAAAAATACGATGGAACTCCAAAAAGAACATTGTCATGGGGAATCACTTCAACCATTTGTTAAGAAAAATTAAAATATAGACAATCATAACTTATGAAAATAAGCATATAAAAGATTTGATGATAAGACATTACTCTCATTGATTTAATTCAGACTTCAGCTAGATGGATCTATCCTGCTGTGTACTTCTGCCAAGGATGAAGAGACTAGAATCAATGCCATCTACTGTTATTAATTTCTGACCAAAGTTCTTCGGTCCTCCTTGTCAAGCACCACTAAATCCAATCAACTTGTTGCACTATTTTTACTAGTTTATATAGATATTAAATGTAACTTGTATATACAGATCAAGGACCACTGTACCGCCTAAAATGGTATGGAATAGGCGGTACGTACCAATCCGATCGTGGATCAATACATGGACCACCCCGCAACCAGTCAAAAATTGAAAAAACATAAAATATCGATAGGGCCCATCCATTATGTCTAGAGATTGTTAAATATTATTTAATGTACTCAACATTTATTTTTGATACCTATATTTAAATAATTTTAATTGCTTTAACTAGTATGGTGATATTTATTTGTTCACATTGCTGAGTTTATAAAATTTATGTATAAAAAACTATAAAACTTAGGTTAATCGAATACTATCTATATATTAAAGAATACTCATGTCCTTGCATGTCGATGTCCTATTTTTTTAAAAAAATGACATGTCGCTATGTCCATGTCGTGTCATGCCCATGTCCCACGTCTGTGCTTCTTAGCCTGCCACTACTTCGACACCACTGTCATCTTCTTGCAAGTTGCAACACTGCTACCATCTTCTTTCAACGTTGCTGCCATCTTCTCGCAACGCTATTGTCACCGTCATTGCCATTCAATATCGCCACCACTACTATGAGTTTCTATCTCCCCATGTACACTCGCACCTTTACTCCTCTTCTTTCTTCTTCTTCCTCCTCTTCCTCCACTATCTCTCCTTCCTTCCTCTTCCTCCTTTCTTCTTCCATCCACCCTTGTACTTTTTTTTCCTCTTCGAAACACCAGTATGTACCAGTGTATCAAGTATCAACACATGATACATCGGTACTGACTAATATGTACCAATCTAACCAAATCATCAAAATGCGTCCAGTACCCAAAACAGCAATCTTTGATATAGACGTCTTAAATTGTACAAATTATGTTGATTAACTCTTCCTAATGGTATCATCATCTAGTATTGTCGCTAATCTTTCACGTATTAATCATGTCATACTCAACCTTTTTTAATAACTTAATATATTCATCTTAGAATCCCCATGTTGAATAAATTATCCTCTAAACACCCAACATTGTGACCATAGATGGCCTTACGACAAATTTATAAAACTTTCCTTATACCGCACAACCCCCTAAAAATCCCATTCTGTTTTAGCCATCCACTCTACTTTAGTGCCAAATATTATGTGACCCAAATTAATAACAATATTACTTGTCTGACCTTGTATTACATTTATATATCAACTGTTCCGTCCTATATCTCTTTTATACAATTATTTGTTCATAAATAGTAAAAAAACACAAAATATTTTTTTTTAAT